TTCTAGAGTGCTTTTCTCTCAGAGCCAAAATAACAGGGAAAAATCTATTGCTTTTTAATTTTTCAAGTTTCAAAGAGGCCACATAGCCTAGATCATCTTTAAAGCAAATAAAATAATTTAATTAATGTCTTTAATTTCTTGCTCTGACAATGATCCCAAGCACCCAAATATTTTTATTACCTTTTACCTTGAAGCTGATCTTGTATCTTGTATTTCTGTTTTATTTGCTATATTTGCCCTTTAAAAAGTTCAACTGAAAATTTAAATTTTAATTTAATTTTGATGTGTAATTTAATTTGATTTATTTTAGTTTAACTTAATTTTCTGTGAATCCTACTGCATTTGCTTTATCATGTCAAATAATTTCACAAATTTTTTTCTGTGTTCATTTGATATTGTTTTCAAGGTCTAGTAAGAATAATTGGTTATTTTGGGGGGGCTGGCCCGGTTTCACAGTGGGTAAGTTTGCAAGCTCTGCTTTTGCAGCCTGGGATTCACAGATTCAGATCCTGAGTATGGACATACACACCACTCATCAAGTCATGCTGTGGTGGGGTCACATATACAAAATGAAACAAGGTTGACATAGATGTTAGCTCAGGGACCATGTTCATCAAGCAAAAAGAGAAAGATTGCCAACAGATGTTAGCCAGCACCAGTCTTCCTCACACACACATAAATGGTTATTTTTAAGTATTTTTTTCTTAGGATTTCAATGGATTTGCCACAGGAAGTGAAATAGCCATATGTGCTAAATTTATTAATCTTGATCCAACAATATTTTTAAATGGAAAAAAGTTATTTAATTTATTTTTCATTCTTATATTTAAATAGCCAAAAAGTGCCTGTATTATAATGTTCTCCCAGCATATCTATGCCTTTGTCTCTAAAAAGCATATGGAGGTCCTTTGTGATATATATACATATATATATATAGGGAATACTCTAGTAAAGTAAAAATGACTGCATAGAAAGCTATTGAGAAGTTCAATTATGGAAACACAATTGTCTTTGCCAGGAATCAAAAGGAAATACAAAGCAAATAAAGCACCCCAGACCTTTATATCCATCAACATAGGTAAGGTTATCCTGCAGTAACAATGCCAAAATATTGGAGGTTTGCAAAAACAAAACTTTATATCTGCAGCAAGAGAGTTTTATTTTTACTTATGCTGTAGAACCCCTCACCTGCATCAGCCTCACTCTTGGAAAAAGTTTTATGAAGCAGCCTCTGTATGGAACATTGCGGGTCTTTGTGTCAGAGAGAAAAAAGCTACAGAGAGCCATGAACTATCTCTTAATGTTTCATCTCAGAAGTGTCCAATTTGAATTCAACAGGGTGGAGCTATATAATCCTCTCACGAGGAACATCAATAAACCACAGCCATTAAATTGAATATAACAGTTACAAATTCAGCTAGCCTGATTAAATTGAATAGGCAGATGGAGTAAATAAAATGCTAGAAGAATATAGCAAAAGTGAAAAAAATATATTTTATATATATAAAGATCTAAGAAATATAAATAAATATATAATATATACATTTACAAATACATATATTTACAAATAATATATGTACACACATAATATCTCTGAAATAAATGCTAACGAAGACTAGACAATTCAAAAGCTCTGAAAAGACAATATCAGGAAGACACAGGGGAGTTTCCATTTCTCTTGAGACAGATCACATTTTTCTGCTTTTCATGTTCAGTTACTTTAAATGTTGAACTTCTTGTGAGGATCTGGATTCAGTTACATTTTTCTGAAGAGCGCTGATGTTATTTTTTTAGGAGGCAATTAAATTAGCTAGACTAGTCCTGAAAACTATCTCTTGGCTAGCAGCTCAAATCTCATTTTAATTCTCTAATTTATCCTTAGATTCATTCTTTTTTACTGAAGGATTGTTTTGGTGTCAACCGGGATTTGGGGCAGAGGTAATACATTAAATATTTTATTCCCACTCTCTGCCTCTCTCCTTTCTGCAATTCCTCCATTCTTTTCCAGCTGTGGTTGTCTTGAATTCTATCCTCTGTGTTTTTAGATAGGAAAGACTGCACGGTTTTATTGGAAATTTAGCCAAACTAAATGCCGTTGAAATTGGTCTGCTCTCAGGCTACAAGTGGTAAAACCAGGTAACTCTCTGTGACATTTCCTCTGTCTAAGTCTGAACTGTTTTTCCAAACTCATTGCCTTTTTTCCCCAGCCTTCAGGGTGATGTTTGTATGTGTGTGTGTGTGTTTGTGTGTGTGTCCGTGTATGTGATTGTTCAGATTTTATACAGGTTATCAGTAGTAGAGTCCAGGAGGATCATATTTAGCCCTATCAGAAGCAGAAGACAAATTCTTTTAGTATCAAATGTGTTTTTATCTTAATTTGAAAGAGATTTTTAATTGTTTTACTTCTGAGAACATCATGATCTCTACAGTGCTTATTAAATTTTGAGGTTCCTCTCTGTTGCTGGCATTTATTTATATGTATGTATTTATGCATTTTTCTATTGTAGTACCTTTATGTTGTTATTGAATTTTATTCCAGAATCTCTAATAGGGAATCTTGGATAACATTGACACATATAATTTGGAACAAAAGGTGAAATAGAGCAGAAAAATATAAACTTGGCATACAGAAAGACATTGGGCTCATTTAACTAGTGCATGGTTTTTATCCAACTCAGAGCCTTTGGGAGACGAAAACCTAAATTTTTCATGTTGCCATAGGAGGAGCCACAGAAAACAATGGTTGTAATTTAGGGGGGAGACTCACAAAATTAGAGCAGAATGACACTTATTAAATGATAATATTATTTTATCCATAGCTTTACACTCATTAATTGGCAGAAAATAGAATTTTCAGAATAGTAAATTGGGAACAGAAGATTGGACATACACAATCTAACCCTTCCTTCATTCTCTTTGGAACTGGCTGCCTGCAAAGAACACACATTTTGTTCTGCTTCAACATATAGTAAATTTTAAAAAGGCACCATCTTTCCTTGACATTAGTACTGAAATGATACTGTTCAACTCTGGAGTCCAGAATAGCAAGCCTGTTATTTTCCACACTGAAGGTAGTACATTCTCACAAAGTTAGACACAGAAAAAACTACCATTGTCATCTTTATATCACTGACTTCTTTGCGACTGTTCCATTCTAAATTCACCTTTGTTTAGCATCCCCCTAATATTGTTCCACATATATTTATATATACCCAGTATTTTGGAGGTATGACCTAAACTCATTCCACCAAGTAATTTCCATGGCTTATTACATACACGTACAAAACTTTAGGCCCCTTCTTTATGCCTTTCACTTGGTCTCAAATCTAGGAACCATTAAAAGCTATCTTGCCAACATTTGGCAATTCCTTTAAAATTTATTCAATTCAAAAGAAGATAGCATTTCCATATGTAAAAAAAGAACACATCGGGGAGGAGGCTAGGGTTCTTGACCAATAAGAAAAAGAACTGCAATTGAAACTTGATTTCAATAATGGGAATACATGTCCAGTAAATCATTACTCTCGTTAATGTTTACATATGACATATATTGAATTTGTTAAAAGTCTACTTTAAAATAAAAATATCTTTGATATATATAATTGAATTGTTAAATGAGATGTACTTTTGGTGCCTGGCTAAAACCAGCTTATTGGAACAACAGAGATTTTCATAGGTGAGAGAAGGAAGACAAAGTTTTAGAACTTGGATCCTCTTGCAAATCAGACTTCATTGAATAGTTAAGGAAGTAAAATGTGAAAAGATCACATATAGCAAACACTTAATATAGTTAGATTTTATTTTAAGGCTTTTTAGGCATTATATTATTTATTCCTAAGAGCAGCCTTATTTGGTGGCTACAATTATGGTCGTCAAGTGACAGGTAATAGAACTGAAGCATAAAGCTTTTAAGTAAAAATAACTGGTATTTAGTGAATATTTATTTGCCAGGAGGCGTTTTTCAAGTGCTTTTCAAATATTCTTCAAGTAACGTTATGAGTAAGAAATTATTTCTATCATATTTCACAAGAGAAGAAACTGTGCCAGCACGTTTATGTAACTAAGTCACAGGGCTGATAGGATGCATATAGAATTTACACTCAAGTGATCTAGTTTCATTGCCCATGTCCTTAAACTTTACACCATATTGCTCACTCCCCATTTGTACATGGATCAAAGACCTTGGTGAAAAAATCTATATGATGATCTTTACCACTATACAAAACTATTTGACCAGAATTTTTGGCAGAGAGGAAACAAAAATCTAGATGGGAAGTCAAAAAAGTACTAATTTTTTTCTGTTTTCCAATATTTTTCTTTTAGGAATAAACTTGTCTCATGAGATATAATGAGACAAATATTCCTATGGCTATTACGGTAGATGAGCTTATTTATCAGTGAATCTATATTTCCTCCTTCTGACTGCTATGGAAGTGTATACTTTACAGATAATTAACAAGTTGGCCATGTGACTTCTTTTGACAATGTAATGTGAATGGGAAATGACAGCTTATGAGTTCTGAGCTCAAGTATTAAGCAGCACATTTCTGCTTGCCCCTCTGAGAGCTGCTAATCTCTGCTACATAAGGTCATGTAACAAGTAACCCACTGTTTTCAGGATAAAATATAGAAAGAAGATCTGAGCTGAATGTGTGATTTAAAGCCAAACCCATATATGCCCAGCCTACACGAACTGAAACCCAGCCAAACCACAAATGGGTGAATGAGAAATAAATGCTTATTTTTAAATGTCAATGCCAGCTTGGGTTTTTGTAACACAACTGTAGCATTTAGTTACACCTACCATTTGCAGTTTACATGAAATTAATTTTTAATATTCATGTATTTTCTCTATATGAATACAAGGAATAAACATAGAGATAATAAAGAATATGTGTATAATCAGAGATAAATGTGTATGAAATATTAATTTATTTTGTAAATAGTAATCATATGTAAGCTTTCTCTCTCTTATAATTGAATTATGGTAGAAATAGTTCTGAGTTTTTGTCAACTTACTAAAGTTTATCTCAAATTCTGTCGATAACCAGCTGCTTGACCCACACAAAGATTTTCATCAACTTATTTACTGTTTTACTCATTAACATTTTATTTTTTCCATCAAAATATTTTATATTCATGATAATAAAGAGCGACAGAAGTGAAGAAATAGAAAATTTAGTAAAACAAGACACCTTCTAAAATATCTGAAATCCAGTAGAGGAAATGAACAGACATGTAAAAAATACCAAAGGGCACTGTTTATTACCCAATGAAAATGCCAACCTCTGCCAAAAATAAATGTAACCATTGATCATGCTGCACTAAAACAAATTCTAAAGGTACAGGTTGGTTCCATTCTTTGAGGAAGTGGGGTACATCCAAACGACTCTTGTACAACAGCCTTGTGGTTGTTGCATATACCTTTGACTGCCAATTAACAATTTGTTTACTCTCACCTCCAAATCTATCCTTCAAACCCTGTTCTGAGATAATGGAGCTAGATCCTATAAACTTTTCTCCCTTGTCAGCTCGTATTATGCTAAGTTGTGTAGTTAAAGGCACTGGACAGGCACTGCAGGAGAAAGGCTCTTCTTCCTGGTTTCATGATGTTCTCTCTCCTTTGGCTACTATAAGGTGGTGGCACGCTGTATGCATGCAGCTGTGGTATTCACTCTACAGAAAGTTTTTGTGTCCAGTCCTATTTATAGTTTCCTACCCTCTACCCTCTGCCTACTAACACTGGCAGGGATGTCTTTCTGGTTGCCAGTCACAGCCTGAGATCCATCCTCACCAATTTCAGCCTGCTGACTGAGGAACCAATCTGTCCCAGGGCAATCCAGTGAACATGTCTGCCATGAAGTTGTCTGCAGCCACTCTGTCTTCAATGATATCTGAAACCCATCCTTAGGGAGTAGACCTGGCTGCAAAGTAGATTCCTTCCTAGGGGGCTCTCCTTTAACCCTAAGGTGTTCTTCGTAATTTTCTATTATCCCCTCTTCCTAGGCTACCCTCTAAAAACAGTTAATAATTCTTTCCATCAGGCCTCCCCTAGTTTCTGTCTCTTGAGTTGACTCTGACTTACACACCTTACCACTCCAGGCTCTTGAATTCTCATTTTGAACAACTTCAAGGTCTAGGACAAATGGAGTAATTTGAAAATATGAGTGGAATTACTCACCTTTTTGAGACTTAGAAATAACAGTTCTTGATATTAGGTTTTGATGTTTATATATGATTATTTTAGTAAATAGTAAAAGTTTAAGAAACATATAATATGTACCTGGATATATATTTAAAAAATAATATAAATAAAGATTTTAAAATAATTCTACAACAACAAGAGTGAAGCCCCAGGCAAACTATGGACTTAAGGTGATTATGATACATCGATGTGGATTCATCCTTGGTAACAAATGTACCATTCTGGTGAGTGATGTTGAGAGTTGAGGAGGCTGTGCATGTGCAGGGACAAGGGCCATATGGGAAATCTCTGTATCTTCCTCTTGATTTTGTTATGAAATTAAAGCTACTCTAAAAAAAATACAAAAAATAATTCTAAGAAAATAATTTTATGGCTTTTCAAGAAACTACAAATATATTCTCTACAGATGGTCACAGTAACATTACACCAAATTTAATTAAGCTAAAGTGCCTGATGCTTACAAACATATATTTTTGTTTCTAAACAAGATCCAGGAGAAAGTTTGTTTTCGGGAAAATCCAAGAATACACAATTCTTATCCCTCCCTGAAGATACTGGGAACCTGAAATACACAGATATCATTTATCTTAGTAAAATATGACAACATTTTGATGAATAAATATTATATTTAGACTAATAGTTATATATCTAAATCTGAATATTTCCAATATATTTTTTCTATGGAAAAGTTTAAATGACTGTGTTTATATAATTCTTCATATATTGCTTCTTTTTTCTTTCTAAGATTAATTCCTTCAAGGCATAAAGTATAAAACTACTCAAGAAACTTACAGTTTGGAAGAGAAAGTTGAGCCATTTGGCCACAGCCATGCATTTTTACTGGTGCTGTGAGAGAGTCCAATCCACAAAAAAACATTCAAGGAGTTCAAAACATTCTATAGAAAAGAAATCTTATTATGTAAATAAATTTAAAATAAAATAAATAAATTTTTATACTAATTTTAATTTGGTGATAACAAATAAAGTTATTTATTTTTTTTACTTTAGAGAGTCTCTCCATTTAAAATACAATGTTACAAATTGGACAGTTAGGTAAATGTATTAGTGTGACTAAGTGAAGACGAAAAACTGACAATATTTCAAGGCTCTGAGAATTGATCAAAGACTAACAATAATTTGTGAAGTGGAAAAAAAATAGAGCAAATTTGTAGTCTTCTGGCCTAGTACTGCTTTAATGTCTACCCTCATCCCCACCCCAGCTCACTGAGCAAGAAAAATTTTAGTTTTTACGATTTGGGGAAGGCTGCAAAACCAATACTGTAGTTGCCAAAGGGGTAGATTTGATTAGGAGAGAACAATGGGTCACTAAATAGTCCATGACTTTTTCATTTCAAAGTGCTGAATTTGCTAAGTAACTAATGAGGAAACACGTACTTTTTCTAGTTCAAGGTTATGGTCTCCTTTGTGTCAAGCAGAGTGCCAACTATAAATATAATGGGAAGGTACTAAAAATGAAAGTACAATAGAAGAGACGACATTAGCTCTACACATCCTTGACTGATGGAAAAAATGTGCAGATCTATAGAAGACACCAAGATGATCCTCGTAACAAGTAAAAACCAAAGCACATGTGAGAACTAATTACTAAGTTTTAAGCCCTCCCCAAAACACACACACACACAAACAAATGGTAGATGGTGGAAGCCCTACTGACTTGCATTATTTCAATACAACCTTTTAAAAAGATTACTGGCTGACAACTAAGCAATGCAATCACAAGCATAATTCCTAGGAAGTCAAGCTAAAAAACAAACAATAAGAATTTGAAAAAACTTGGCAGAAATATCACAGGCACACTTCAGAGGAAAAGATTCTGGAGAAAAGTTTGCGCATGTTACAAAAAGTAATAAACCTAAGAAACATGAAATAGAATCCATGTTTACCACACTATATTATAAAGTGTCTACTTAAACACGTAGAAAACTTGCAAAGAAATTGGAAAATGTCTTCCATACTCAGGGAAAAAGTCAGACAATAGAATCTTTTACTGAGATTAAATGTTAGATGTATTAGAAAAATATTTTAAAGTAATTATTATAAATATATGCAAATTATAAAGTAAACTATGTTCAAATAACTAAATGAAAATATGATGGTAGTGACAAAACAAGTAGAAAATATCAATAGAGAAATAAAAATTATATAAAACAACTGAATAGAAATTCTGAGTTGACAAATATATTACGTGAAATGAAAAAGTCATCAGATTGATTCTACAGAAAGTTTTAGATGCAGAAGAAAGAAGTGATGAAATTGAGGATGGAATAATAGAAATGATTTTTCCGAGAAGATGAGAGAGGAAAAAGAGAGAAAAATTAACACAGCTCAGAGGCCTTTGAGACAGTATCAAGAAAACCAAGATAGGCATAAATATAGTTTGAGAAGAGAGACAGAAAGGGACAGGAAAACAATTTTAAGCCACAATGAATGAACAACTTCTTAATTTATTTCCCGGAGGTATAAAGAACTCTCAAAACAAATAACAAAAAAATATGCAAAATATTTCAATGGATAATTCACCAAAAAAAAAATACAGATGGCAAGTGAGTACATGAAAAGATGATCAATATCATCAATCTCAGGAACATTCAAATTAAAACTACTACAGATCGGACCTCCTGTTCTGGGAAGATGGAGCGGATGTACTTGTCAGTGGTAGCACTTTTACTGTATAATACGTCTGGAAAGAAGGAGTGGATGATACTTTTCGCTATTCCTTCCACTAAACACAGCTAAAAACACTGGACACTGTATGTAAGACAAACATGAGAAGAGTCTGAAAAGTGATGAGAAAGCTGACGGAAACCGGACTTGAGACCTGAGGAGTGATATTACAGTGAGCGAACTGGGAATTTCTTTTGATCTCGTATATCCCAGGCTGGATGCTGGAGAAACAGGCAAACTAGAACTCCAATGGGTAGGGACAAAATCCCCAAGAAAAGTCTCTTCTCTCCAAAGGACCAGGAAAGGGGCAGGCTAGAGAAACAGGAAGCTTTTAGACTCTTAACTGCCTTATTCCAACCAAAATCCATAGAAAAATTTGGTGAAAATATCACTCAGGAATGAAGGGGAAATCAAGACATTCTCAGATAAAGAGAAACTCAGAAAATGTGTCATCATCCAGGCCCAGTCTAAAAGAATAGATAAAAGAAATCGTCTAAGCAGAAATTAAATGGATCTTCAGGAAGGAAGAGAGAACAAAAGAAAGAATAAAAATATCATTAGATACAATAGACTTTCCTTCTCCTCTTGTGTTTTCTAAATTGATAGTTGAAGTAAAATTATCAGTTGAAGAAATATTGAACATTCTTCCATTTAATTCTCGATATACGTAAATAAAATATATAGGACAATTATAAATATACATAGTAAATCGACATAAAGGAAAGTAAACCTTCTCCATTTCACTCAAATTGCTGTAGACTACGACAGACTGTATAGACTGTGATAAAATATATATTATCATCAATACAAAGATAATATAGAGTACATATTATCCATATAAAGCAGACTAGAGCACATATGTGTATATATAAGTTCATAAATATAGGAAAGATATTTATGAAGGAAAAGATCATCTTTGTATAAATTATGCTCCATCAATTATGTAATGATGTAGAAAAGCATAAACTTCACTTCCATCTCATCTTCACATGCATCACAAATACAGCATCACAAAAAATAAATTCCCAATGGATTATAGACCTAAATGTAAAAGTTAAAAAATAAAAAAAAAAGATACAACCTAGAGAGCAATATAGATTATATTCACAAACTTGGACTAATTTCTGAAATGGATTCAAAATAATCGCTAACACCAAAAAGGAAAAATTGGACTCTGATAACATTAATAAATTCTGGTCATTAAAAGACTCCAATATGAGAGTAAAAATGTAAGTCACAAAGTCAAAAAAAGATATTTGTGTCTCATAAAATCAAAAAAGAGCAGATATCCAAAATATAACAAGAACTTCTAGGAAGGTAAATGACAGACATCATATAAGAGAAATGGTGGACAAGACAAGGACAAGACAAGACACATGAACAGGCACTTCCCATTATTGCAAAAGAGAATGTCTTAATAATTAAGAGCCCAGAAAAATATGTTCAATCCACTAGGAATCAGTAAAATGTCTATTAATGTCATAATGATACTGCTATATAACAATCAGAACTTTAAAATTCCTGAGAGACTAAGTTTTGGATCAAGAGACTATTGGATAAAATATGTATTTACAGAAAATTAGGAAAATATTGGGACAATTTAATTAATTTGACTTACACTATATTTATGACGCTGCAATTTCGTTCTGATGCATAGAGAACAATATATTATAATTATGCAAAATGCAATTATAAGAATATAATAGTATTTATAAATTATCATATTTTTATAAATATAATGGTATATTAATATAATTTATTATATGACATATTTATATATAATATACAAATTTTTAATACATATGGAAAAAGATATACACAAGGGTTTTCATAAAAAATTATCCGTAATACCCATGTATTAAAAAGTAACTAAATTTTTTACTCAGTAGCATAGATTAAAAAATGTCAAATCCATACAATACATAGGTGAAATTAACAAACTACAGGTAAATGCAAAAGTATGGATGAATTGCAAAAATATAAGGTAGGAGTGAAGAAGACACAAGAATGCATACTGAATCTTCCATTTATATAAATCTCTAAAACATGCAGTGATACTTTATAATGTTGAAAAACAGAACAGTGGTTAAGTGAGGAGGTAGCAGAAGTGTTGAGAGTTCACCCAGGGGCAGGCTGCCTGGGGCTGGAAACTTCTATTTCATGACCTGAACTGTAATTACGTAGGTCTTTTCAGTTTGTGATCAACTTGCACAATCATGATATGTTTAGTTTCCTTGATGCATGGTATAACTAAAGAGTAAAGTTAATTTAGGAAAAAAAGCATTTATAGAAACATGGTTTTCTATGAAAAGCAAGAACTGGAAACTATCAAATGTGCATTAGTGACATAAAAATATAAATAAAATATAAACTCAAACAAGAATAACAACAGGCTGTAAAATTAAAAACTACAGATAGGTAGAAAAACATGGATGAATTCTACAAATATAATATTGACTGAAATAAGCTTTTAATAAAATATTAGAAACACTTAAAATCTTACCATTTCTTCTTCATTATCTATATAAAGCAGGTTAGAGTTCTTAGAAGCACAGGCCATCAAGCTCTCATTCCATGCTTTTCTTTCAATACTAATGTAATAGCAATTGTTGGAATATGTTAACCATTCCTTCGGGCAATGACCACAATGATATTCTGAAAAAAGATTATGAATTGTTATTCAAAGCAATTGAATTTTTGAATTCTAAAAAATGAAAATTAACTTTCCCACAACTAGAAGGACCTGCAACTAAGATACACACCTATGTATGGGGGGGTTGGGGAGATAAAGCAAAAAAAAGAAAATTAACTTACGTACTTGCATAGGTATAAACATATATGTACATAACATATCTATACATCCTCACACGTTGGTACACATAAAGAAAACAAAACACACTTAGATACACACTTACAGAGAAGGGCCAGTCCTTCATCCCCTAATTTATGTGCCACTAATTTAGAATGCAAGCACACAAAGAAAAGTATCCACTCTGCATATGGCCTGAAAGTCAGCAAATTTCAGAATAGTAAAATTATTTATCTCTTATCAGTAGGAAATTTGAGCCAATCCACAACAATGTGTATGGTGATTTTAAATGAAATTTCTTCATATTGTTGCATAAGAAGGAATACTCTCCTCTAATCATTATTTATGAACATTACTCAATTTTAATTCATTTTCACCAAAAAAGTCTATTATCATTTTTTCCTAGCTTAAGATGGAGACAAAGTGTGAACTATACTAATATTACAACTTTGAAAATCATTATGTACCTTTCTGGTTCCTTGTTATCAGGGTTGAAGTGTTCTGCTCCAGAATTAAAGTAGCTATAAAAATTAAAGTAATGAATATATAAAAATTACTATTATCTAAATAAGTCATAGTTTCTTACTTTGAAATTTGGTGTATTGTTTAGAATTAGAATAATCTAATTTTATAAGATTTTACCAAAACATTAATAAAGCAATGAAGACCAAAGGAAAAATATTTCAAAAGTCTAAAGGACCAAGCCTTACCATCTCTTAGAGTATTTAGTTTAATCAATCTCAAGATCTAATTTATTTCTCAATAAGGTCTTTCAGTCTCCTGAATTATGTCTTTGAGTTATGAAATCAGAAAACATACATACGCAATACTTTCTATATTCATTCTGTTATTTATAATTTGACAAATTCAGAATAACCATTCCACATTTAGTTTAAAATCATACATTAAAATGAGAGTTCTAATCCATAATATTATGAAATGTTTAGAGGCACTGACGATCATAAAAGTAAAAAGTTCCCTTATAATCTTTCAAAAATTTACTTACATTTGGTAACAACTATCATTGTTACCACTGTGGATAATAAAACAAAGCAGATGATTCCCAGGATCCCAGCAACGAGCTTCCCTGGAGGTGACGGTAAATCTGCAGAGAGAAAAATGAAAATACTGAGAAAGGAGAAATGGAGACTACATACAAGGGAACTCACATGCACAGGGAATCATACATATAAACTCGGACCCCAAACTCATATCTACCATTGTAATCTTTCTCTCAGAATATTCCATGGCATTTTCTGTAAACATAATGCTTCATGAGCTGTTAGTCAAAACTAGAAATTTTGACAATGCCTGAATGAAATTAGTCCTCAGATGTCGTATTAGAATGCCATATTCCAACTTCAAGCTCTGATCCTCACATATAAAAATTAGGTGAGCTTATTCCCTTTTCCCACACCTCTGCGCCCAGCTGCCCATCCTAGAGCAGTTAGACTGTGTGTCTGTTAGATGTTTTACCTTTGCAGTGGTCGTTCTTGTCATCCCCTAGAAGATCCCGAGAGGCATCTTGAAGGTTTAATTCCACATAAGTTATTTCCTGTTCAGTTACTGAAATGGAGCTTTTAGTGCCCTTAGGCTTCATTTGCTGTCTCCTTGTGTCCTTCACCAGATTCAATTCTGAGTATTTTTCTCTTTGGTTATTCATCTCTGCAGCTGAGTAATGTTAGAGACAGTGTTCTATGAAAGCTGCACTTAAGTGGTTAATAAATGGTGTGTATCATAAGATCACTAGTATACCTAAAGGGGTGGAGTGTGAGATGAGTAATAGTACTCATTTTGCAGATGAACAATGTAAAAGTGTGGTTCTAATTTCCTTAGAACTTTAAACATGTGTTTCATGATAGAAGAAGTGGTTTTCAAAATAATATTATATGTTTGACACAATGCTATTGGTTGGAGAAATGTAAAGCAATAAATTAGTAAGGAATATAGAAGTTCATGAATAATAACATCCTTGTAACTTAAAGTCAGATTCCATAGAAACATTTTAATGCTATTAGAATAACTAAGTTAAAATTAAAATGCCGTATTAAGAAAAGAATGATGCACCAATCTTTATGACAATTTTTAAATCCATTCATGGTTAAAAATTGAGTGTTAATAAATTGGGAGAATAGTAGCGTTAACATATATAGGAATTTCCTGCACTAAAATTTAGTGACTTACATTTACTTATTAAAGAGGATGAGATACTATCACATAATCTTTATTTTGAATGATTGTGCAGATATGAAAAATCGTTAAAACTTTAAGGAAACATTTTATATGTTGAAAAATATTATATGACACACAATCCATTCAAAACCTAAACAATATTGAAAACAAAAGGACAAAAAAATTAAATATTTATTTGACACTAGAAATGGGCTATTGATTCAATGGCAAAGATGCAAAATCATAAAATGATAAATAAAAGTGTAGATCATTTATGGAAGAGCACTGTTGCTTCAAAATTCCAGAAAGATCCCACAGCTGTCAAAGTCAGTGAGAGTAGATTTAGTTGTGCAAACAGTTGTAATAAATCAGGTAATGTAATTTGTTAATTCAGTCAATGAGCTCCGCAATCAGCGAGATCTGGAATTAATTCTGGTTTTGAAATTTGCAATGTACGACCTTTAAAAAGTTACTTAGTGTCTAACAACCTGGTTTACTAATCTAAAATGAGAATAAAAATATGTAAGATATATGTATCTAAAACACATATTACTCAATCTGGCTTTTATAAGATCTCAATACTATGTGTATTATTTTAATTATTATTTTAACCTAATTGCTATGTTATTGTTTCTGAACTATAACAATCAGACCATGTAACATAATTCATGAGACAGGAGTCTCTTGATCAGTGTGGTATATCTGTTTTGAACCTTTTTGTTTAACTTAAAAAAAATCTTTTGATTGTTTATAGTTAACTTTTAACCAGCATTTTACAGAAGGTAACTCATCCTGATTTTGATTAAAAATAAAACTGCTTTTATTTAATCTAAGTACATACACGAATAATTACGTTTGACCTTCATGATTTGATGAATTCATTTTAAGAATCTTTTTTTAAAAGCTAGGCTAATTAAAAATAATATATATTTATATCTATGTTGATTATAAAAACCAAAGTTAACTGTTTATTGTCATGATGCTTATAAGATTTCACTTTAAGTTGTGTTGATTTACAAACCCAATTATGCATGTGGGTATGCACTTAACTAATCCTTCAAAGGCAGGAATTTGAATATTTTAAGAAATCCTCCTACGTATCTTTTATTTTATTCTTGTTTTTACCTGCATTATTCAAATAAAGATACCAATGTTTTTTTCTGATTTGATTGTATACTCACTGTACCTCAGTTGCATCATATCTGGCATTTGTAATCTCCCACTAAATGAGTGGGCTAGTAGAGAGACAGAAGAGTAGCCACACATACCTTCTGTTAGCCAGAAAGTGGTGCATCCTGTAGGGGGAGGCCAGGTTACTCCTGTAAACAAACAATATCTGCGGTCTTCACAGACTGCGGTCTTCACACACTGCCTGGTGAAGATGCAGCGTGAAGCCATAGGAGAGAAAGCAGATTTCTCGTCAATGTGTCACTTAAAGTTTGAACAGGAAATTCTTACACCTGGGCTATTTTGAAGACAGTTTATGTCCTCGCATACCTTCAGAATACAGGAAACTTTGAGCTTGTAGTGTGTCATTCACTTTGTACATGAGCAAGTGCCTCTGAGATATTGTTTCCCTATTCTAAAACATATCAGGCGAGAGATACTTGATCACCTCATGCTGTTAATTTGCTTCCATCTCAATCACTAAGACTGAAAACTTAGGTCTTGTTGAGAGTATCTTAGATGTTTAAATTTTACTTTCAGACAAGTTGCTAAAATATGGCATCGCATACTTCTTTTCCTTATACCCTTGTTATGTCATTTCTATTATCATGGAAAAATTTCTTAAATCATAATCCCATTAACACTGTATATTTAATGATATTTGTCACTAATTATTCTGAAGAATTACTATATGTTCAACCTTATTGTAACTGTTGCAAAGACATTGGTTCCCAAATGTATCTTCTCCAATTCTCTGCCCTAGTTCTTAAACTACCTACATTCAATTTTATTATTTTAAATACGTTATTTAGATTTCCCCGATGAAAATAATTGTCTCTGGGAAGGATAAAACATTAAAAATATGGAAAAATATCACCATGCCAGAGATTGAGATATTAAATAACCACTCATTGTATTATCATTGATACATCCTACAATCATAACTAATTGTCTGTATTTTAATAAGAACATTTGTAGTAAATGACAAAACCCAAGTCTAGCCATGTAAGGGGAAGACAGAGATAATTTTTTAAAATTTCACGTAACCAAAAAATGAGAGGACCAAAAAGCAGACTTTTAAAAGACAAGTTAAATGTGACATGAGCATCAAAAGAAATAGAACATTAAATCTAAATGATCTAGTTTGTATCAAATGGAATCCTTTTCATCATTCTTCATCTTGTATCAAGGAAAGGGAGAATGTTTACCTACCATGTCTATGGAAATCCACTTTCAATACAGTCACTAGGAGATTGAGTTCAGACAATCTCAAACTGTTAATTTTTTAAAATCTAGAAAAATGGAATTAAATCCATAGTTATGTCCTAGTAATCTGGACTAATATTTGAGCCTTCTATAAAAATGGCTAATGATGGCTGGCTATCTGTGTATTTCTATTATATTTTATTATTTTTTCATAAACTAAATTGATAATCTCTCCTTTTCTATTTGCCACATTACAGAATTGTAACAAAGTATTCATTAATGATGTCAAACAATGTAAAGTTCACTGTTACCTTTTTAAATTTGAAGCACTTATATCTGCTATTCCTATAGTCATACACTCTGCTATTTTCGACTAAATAATGTTATATATAAAAGTATGTAGGTATATACAAAAGTAGAAGTATGTGTTCACTTTCCGGCATTTAACTAGTGAAATCTATGCTCAGACAATATAAAGCCCCAATAAAAATTATTCAAAATAATAAGATCAATTCTAATACACTTTTTATGATATAAATATACACATTTATGTATATCATATACAATAAATATATAAATATATATCATATATCATAAATATATAAATATATAAATATAGTGACTATTTCTAATAATGGCTATACCTAGTGACCTAAGAGACATGGATAAATTGGAAGTCAATAAGTGAAAATGTCCTTTTATATGATGGCAAATTCGTTTTCAAGAAAATTGTTTTTTTTCAATTACATTTTTTTTGCTGAGGAATATTAGCCCCAACTTAAGATCTGTTGACAATCTTCTTTCTTGCTTGAGGAACATTAGCCCTGAGATAACATATGTGTCAATCTTCCTCCACTTTGTATGTGGGTCACTGCCACAGCAGGGCTGACGAGTGGTGTTGGTCTGCACCCAGGATCCGAACCCAGGAACCCAGGCTGCCAAAGCAGAGTGCGCCAAACTTAACTACTACATCACAGGGCTAGCCACAAGAAAAATTTTTTAAGCGAGAAGTTAATTACCAAGGGACTATAACTAAAGGAAATATTTAAGGATCCTCTAAATAAGATCCTTTCACTTATTCAAGGTGAAAACTTAGATATGCAGAAAGAAAGAAGAGCTGAAGAAAACGAATTATGTTGATATATCAAAATATATATTTGTATTAGAATTTAAGGGGGCAAACATTGCATAAGCAGCAAACAAACGTAGAAGGCAGTTATGTCTTTTTGCTGTTTGAGAAGGCGTAAAAGTACTAATTTGGTAGACTTTAGTGAGTAAAGAATGTAAGCTGAAAAATGTAGGGCACAAATAAAAGAATATCTAAAGCATTTAAATTAATAAATCCTAAAAGAGGAAAGTGAAAATAAAATTAATTGTGAAAGATACGAAAACAAAGAAAGGGTAGAGTTTGAAGAAATAGTAGTGTTCACCCCAAATTAAAAAACTACATTATACTTAACAGTTAACTGCTTCTTCTATTTGCACAAATAAATCAATAACATTATATTACATAATAATTTAATAATTCTATTTAATAAAAATAGAATAATATTCAATTTAAATTCCAAGAGTGTTTACATTTAAAATGTTTGTCTTGATGAGACACTCTTTTAACATAAACATAAATAAAGATGAAAGTAAAAGATGAAAAAATACATGATGCAACACAAACCAGTAGAGAACTGATATAGTTAATGCACTGTCACAATGGAAGGCAAGAACCATTGTCAGAAATGCTGACGCTTGTTTCATAAGGATAGATTGAGTATCCAAACCATTAGTGATGTGTTTTAAATCCATATGTACCTAATAATACAAGTTCAACATAGATTTCAAGAAAGTGGAGAGTGAAAAATCATGAATGGAGCTTTAAACCATTTTTTCTCACTGTTTATCAAACAAACAGGTATATCAGTAAGGTTATAAAGATTTAAACCAGACAATTAACCACGATATATATGCACACACACACACACACACACATTATGCTAATATAGAATACACATATATTTAAGTTCACATGGCAATTTTCCAAAAATACACTGTATACTCATATTTCTAAGCACTTTAATATAAAATAAACAGAACTGTGGTGTCATGGCAGGAGCTGCTAGTCAAGTTTGGCAAGTGTGCACTTGAAATGTGGGGATTCACATTTAATTTTTAATTAATTAAAAATAGATAAATTTTAATATCAGTTTCTCAGTCACCCTAGATATGTTTAAACAGAGATGGAACATTACCAGCTTCACAGAAAATTCTCTAGCTAGAGTTTACCAAAAATAGATGTCAATAACCAAAACTTTGAAAACTCCTAACATACAGTTTGAAATTCAGTAACATTTTTCTAAATAACATATGAGCCAAATAATTAATCACAATAAATGTTTACAATGTTTATATGAATTACAGGGAAATTATAACAACAAAATCTGTCTTGTGAAATATTGATTGCCTTAACTGCGTATCTTACAAAAAAGAAAAAAGAAAGGCAGAAATGAGAGCATGTATCACAAGAAACTAAAAACGAGAAAGCTAAAATTAGAAGAAATTAAATCCAAATGAAGTACAAGGAAGAAAACAATAAATAGTGAGAAATCATGATGGGGAACAGCCCTGGTGCCCTACTGGTTAAGTTTGGCACACTCTGCTTCAGTGGCCCAGGTTCAGGCATGGACATACACAACTCTGTGATTGGCCATGATGTGCTGGTGGCCCACGTACTAAAAAAGTAGAGGAAGATCATCACAGATGTCAGCTCAAGGTGAATCTTCTTCAGCAAAAGAAAAAAACTATCAAGACACAGAACAAAATTACAGAAGAGAGGATCAACCAGGCCAAAGTTATTCTCATTGCAAACACTTAATAAAATTGATAAAAGACTGTTGAAGAAAAAGTTGATAAGACATAAATCTTTTATATCTAGATTAAACATGAAAGTATCATTATAATATTAAACAGATAATAAAGCCATATAATGAATGCATTTTAATATGTATATGAAATAGAAAATACCTAGAAAATGGAAATTATTCATTGCCCTACAACAAACAGAAGCCTGAGTAAAACTAACATGCATTAAAGAAATCAGATTCCTTATGTAAACCTTTTTACAAAAAAATTCTACAAGCTCAGATGGTATCAGTAGTGAATAATAACACTGAAAATATAACAGTACTCTTCCACAAAGGCTTCCTGGTATTAGAAAAAGAGAAATGCTTCCCAAAAGAGCCTTAACAACAAAACCTGTCAAGTATGTAGCTATAAATGAATATTCAGTCTAATCCCTTTGGGAACATGAATGAAGAAAAATATGTTAATCTAAATATAACATAAGCAGTGATTTTTAAAAAAGACAATAAAGAATGATCATTGTGGTTTTATTTTGCTTTCTGTCTCTTATGGGTTTGCCTATTCTTGATATTTCATATAAGTGGACTCATAAAACATGTGAGCTTTTAAAAAGTTTGAATGCCACAAATATAATGTTGAGTAAAAAAAGCCAGACACAATATAAAGATGCTTGTACATTTTGTTGTGAATTTTATATTCCAATCATTGCTTTTGAAAAAATTTTCATTAATAAAACAAATAATGTAATTAATATTAAGACTTATGCAATCATAATATTATTTCCATTTCATGAAATTGAAAGTTATCCAACAGAATCCAAACTCAGGTGTTTCCATTATAAAGCTTATGCTTGCAATTATATATAATTGGAGATCCACAACTTTCTGCTTTGAGGCCAGATGAGTATAGGAAAGCACAGTTATATTTACCAGATGATGATTCTGTTATGCTGTAATGGAAAAAAATGCATAATTCCGTTGTTATATTGTATGGAGACAATTCGTAAAACAATAACATTTTCCGGGTAACTATAATAAAAGTATATTTTGAAAATGGATAATGACATTTTTCATATGACATTTAGTAAGAATTAGTTATTAGAAAAACTGAGGAATGCCTTTTTTAACATTTGTATCAACATTTCCTTAATTTTCAACATCTCTCTTCATATCTATAATTCAACTTAAAGAAATGCATTACTATTATTGTTCTGAATTTTTCTTTTCTATATTTTCTTCTTCTATATAGCATTATTAAAAACAACTTACTTCATTTTGAAAGTTGAGCCATTTATTGACATCCACGCATGATCACTGCTGTTACGAAAGACTCCAATCCATGATAGAAGTGATATGGAATTCAGAAATTTCTACCCCAAAATAAAGAACTTTTACTTAAATAATCACTAAAAAAGCTTTTATTATTTGTTAGCATGCAAGTAGTTTATTCTTTCATAGGATCTTTAATTTTCAGAATGAAATGAGAGTGTTAGATTTTAATCAAATACCATATAAGTTGAAAAGCATTTTCCATATTGTCAAAAACTTTCGTCATTGTAGTTTTGATTAAAATTAACACTTAAACACTTATAATTAGTAGGTTCATTTTCTTATTATGATAATAAGGAAAGTTCTGATTCATGTAATTTAATAGATACAAATGTTGACAAAACTAACATAGCAAGGCTTTAAATAAGTTTCCAGATACTGTGATATTAATTTCTTCAAATGTTGTGATTAAATCAATGTTTTTTTCTACTATATTTCTTGATTAGAAGAAAGTTAATGGATTGCCATTGGAGAAATAAATGACATGAAAGCCAAAAATTTGGTTTTCTGGGCCCCACGTAATTCTGGGCCCGAAATCTATCTGTTTCTATATTCATAAAATCTTATTGCCCAGACAAGGTGTCATAGACTAATTTCTCCTGGCTACTCCCTGCTAAGTACAACTATAAATTCAGGAACTACTGGAAGACAAAATTAAAGAAGAAATCTGAAAGATGAAAAGAGAAAGACAAAATGGATTGAGACCCTGGGATTCAAGAACAACAGAGTGATAGGACATCTTATATCCCGCATCCAACAGAAGGAAGTGACCTAGGCCACTGCTTCCCAGCAGCCAACCCAGCAATAGGAAGCCGTTCCTCCACTGTGTTGAAACAAATCCAGTCCAGCAACACTAGGTAAGCCTTAGAAGCGTAATGGATCAGGAAACCCGCTAATAACCAGAAGCCAGAGGAAGTGCTTCTCTTCCCCCACCAAGAGACACCAGGGTGTGTGTGAGAGTGCAGAGGGGTGGAGGTGGGACCAGCAAAGGTACTAAAGTACTCATCCCAGGAAGTCTTTTTATCCCTGTGGGCATGAGACTCATGTCCCCAGCCAGGGGACATTGGATAGAATGGATTTCAAAATGTTACATTCACATAATTCAGCAATGAAAATTAACAAACTACAGATAAATGCAATAATATGGACGAATTGCAAAAATATCATAGGGGAGTGAAAAGAGAGGAGGAAAAATGCACATTGTGTGATACGATTAATACGAAGTTCAACTAATGGAGGAGATTCTGTGACAGTAAAAGTCAGGGCAGTTGTTAAATAAGGAGAAATGAGAAGTACTAAGTATACACCCGGAGGTGGGGCTGCTGAGGGCTGGAAACTTCTCTTTTGTGATTTGATTTGTAATTACATGATTCTATTCACCTGTGATCAATCTGTGCCCTCATGATATGTTTAATTTCCTTGGTGGGTGGTAAAATTAAACGGCAAAATTTATTTTAGAAAAAAACATTTATAGAAACCTGGTTTGCTATGAACAGTAAGAACTGGAAATTATCAAATGTGCATTAGTAATACAAAAATATAAGTAAAATATCATAAGGTCAAACAAAGGAAGATTGTAGAATTTAAATTAACCTACAATATGCACAAAAATATGGATGAATTCTACAAATAAAATACTGACTGAAATAAGCCTTTAATAAAGTATATGAAACATTTAAAATCTTACCATTTCTTCTTCATTGTCTATATAAAGCAGACTAGAGTTCTTAGAAGCACAAGCCATCAAACTCTCATTCCACGCTTTTTTTTCACTACCAATGTAATAGCAATTGTTGGAATATGTGAACCACTTCTTCGGACAGTGACAATTATATGCTGAAGAAATATTATGAATCATTATCCAAAAATAATTTGAATTTTTAAAACAGAAAATTAATTTACATACTCACATAGGTATAAACATATATGTACATAACATAGCCATGCACCCTCACAGGCTGGTATATATAAAACAAAACACACATGCACACTCTCACAGAGAAGGATCAGCTTCTCATCTCCTAATTTATGTGCCCATGGAAAGCAAATGCAAAAGCAAATCACCCACTGTATACATGTCCTGACATTCAGTGAATGAAAATAATTTTTAGAATGATAAAATTATTAATCTCATATTATAGCAGCAGGAAATTTGAGCAATTGACAACAAAGGGTCCAATGATTTTAAATGAATATATGTTCTTATTGTTGTGTAATAAGAAATACTCTCCTATAGTCACTATTTATGAACCCTTCATTGCTCGATTTTGTATTTATTAACCCCTAAAAAAACCTGTCATTTTTGCCTAGACTAAGGTAGACACAAAATACAAACTACACTAATATCAGAACTTTGAAAATTGTCACGTACCTTTCTCGATTCTTGTTATCAGGGATGAATTGTTCTGCCCCACTACTTTACTAACTAGAAAAATTAAAGCAATCCTTTTAAAAAATTAATATTGATCTAAATGAATCAGAATAATTTCATTTTCTTAGTTTGTAATATAGTGTATTGTCTAAGATTAGAATAATTCAGAATAAAATTGATTTTATCAGGAAAAATAATAAAGTAATGAAGATTTGTGGGAAAATATTTCAAAGCCTAAAGAACCAAACTTCACCATCTCTGATAGTATTTGGTTTAACTGGTCAGAAAAATAAATTTGTACCCCTCAATAAGGTTTTTCAGTCTCCTAAAGTCTATCTTTGACTTATGAAATCAGAATACATGTATATGTAGTATTTTCTACAATCATTCTGTTATTTATACTTTTGATAAATTCACAGTAACCATTCTACATTTAGCCTAAATGTATACATTCAAATGAGAATTCTAGTCTATAATACTATGAAATGTTTAGAGTAAGAAGTTCTCTTATAATCTTTCAAAAAGTAACTCACAGGGAATAACAACTATCGTTAACACAGTGGATAACAAGACAAGGCAGATGATTCCCAGGATCCCAGCAATGAGCTTCTCTCGAGGTGATGGTAAATCTGCAGGGAAACAGAGAAATGGAAACACTGAGAAAGGAGAGATGGAGACAATTGTTTAGATAGTTTACATTCAAGGGAACTCACATGCACAGGGAATCATATATATATAAACTTGGACACCAAACCCATACCTACCAATGTAATCTTTCTCTCAGAATATTCCATTGCATTTTCAGTAAATATAATGCTCCATGAGATGTTTGTCAAAGACTAGAAATTTAACAATGCCTGAATGAAATTAGTCCTCAGATTTCATATTAGAATACCATGTTCCAACTTCAAGCTCTGATCCTCACTAACAAAAAATTTGTAAGCTTATACTCTACTCTTTCGCCATACCTCTGCACCCCAGCTGTACATTCTACAACAGTTATACTGTATGTTTATTAAATGCTTTACCTTTGCAGTGGTCATTCCTGTCATTCCCTTGAAGATCCTGAGAAGCATTTTGAAGATTTAATTCAGCATATGTTATTTCCTGCTCAACTACTGAAATGGAGCCTTTAGTGACCTTAGGTTTCCTTTGCTGCCTCTTTGCATACTTGGCCACATTCAGTTCTGCATAGGTTACTCTTTGGTTATTCATCTCTGCAGCTGAGCGATGTCTGGACTGTGCTCTAAGATAAATGTACTTAAGAATAAATGGTATATGAAATGACAAAGTCCCTAGTTCTGTAAATCTGGGCGGGGTTGAAGGTGATTATTAGTGCTCATCTCGCAGCTGAAGCATTTAAAGTCCTGCTTTAAAATTGCTCAGAGATTTAAACAAGTGTCTCATGGCAGAATATACTTTTATAAAGATGTTCTACATTTGACAATATATTATCAGTTGGAATAATGAAAAGTGGTAAATTAGTGAGGAATAAAGAAGTTTACGAATTATAATATCCTTATTAAAGTCATATTCCACAAAAAAATTGTAACACCATCAGAATGACTGTATTAAAAATTAAAATGCTATGCTAGAAAAAAGAGATTCACCAATATTTATGATGATTTTTAAATTCAATAATGATTAAATACTGGTTGTTCTAAAAATGGGAGAATATGAAAGTTGGTATATAGATTAATTTCTTACACTAAATTATATTTATTTAGTGACTTACGTGTATTTATTAAAGGTGTTATCAAATGGTCTTTTATTTTGAATGGTTGAAAAGTTCTGAGAAATCCTTAAAAGTTTAAAGAAGTACTTTATATGTTGAAAAATGTTACATTATACTCTAAACTTAGCCATAACCTGAGCAGTATTGAAATAAAACAACAAAATAAGATTAAAAATTACTTTACAATTAATTGATAATTGATTTAATAGCTAAGATATGGACATATAAAATGGTAAACTGTTGGTTATTTATGTAAGAGCACTGTTGTTTTAAACTTCCAGAAAGATTTCATGGTTGTTAAAGTCAGTGAAGGTTGTTATGGTTGTATAAGTAATTGTAATATTCCAGATAATATAATGTAATAATTCAGTCAATGGGTTCTGTAGTCAGAGAGATCTGGAATTAATCTGGCTTTGAAATTTACAGTGGGTGACCTTTAAAAAGTTACTTAGTGCCTAGTGACCTAGTATACTAATCTAAAATGGAAATAAGTGTATGTAAGTTATAATGCATGTAATAGTACTGGACCTGTCACTTATATACCTTCAATAAATGTTTTTTTAATTATACTTTAGTCACAATTTCCATGTTATTATTTCTGATTCTTATCAGTTAGACCTTGTAAAATAATTTAAGCAGGAGTCTCTTTAATGAGTACAGTACATTTTTTTGCTGTTTGTTCAATTTTTTAAAAATCCTTTTGATGGTTTATAATTAATTTTAAATTAGCAATTTGCAGACGCTATCTAATGCTTATTTTTATTAGAAATTAAGCTGCTTTTATTCAATCCAAGTAAGTGTGTGAGTAATTATGTTTGGCCTTCATCATGCAATGAATTCCTTTTTAAGAATCTATTTATAAAGCTTAAGCAAAATATAAATTAACATATTTTTACGCAAAAAAATCTTGCACTCATTATAAAATCCAAAACTCATTGTTCCTTGTGATGTTTATGAGTTTCACTTTAAATTATATTGATTTACAAACCCAGATACCCATGTGTGTATGTAACTTGACAAATTTTCTACAGGCAATAATTTGAATTCTTTAAGAAATCTTCCAACATGTTTTATGCTTTATGGTCGCTTTTTACTCTAAATTATTTAAATAAAAACACCAATGTTCTACTTTGATTTTGTTGTATACTAATTGTAACTCAGTTGCATCACATCCAGCATTTGTTATCTCCCACTAAACGAGGTGGACTGGTGGAAAGACAGGAGAGTAGTGACACATACCTTCTGTTGGCCAGAAAGTGGTGCATCCTCTAGTGGGAGGCCAGGTTACTCTCATAATAGAGGACTGATATAGCTGGGTAATAAAAGGAGAAATTTTAAAATGCAGATCCAGGACAGGAGTAAACAATATCTGTGGTCTTCACAGATTGCCCTTTGAAGACTCAGAATGAAGCAATAGTGGAAAAAGTAGGTCTCTCATAAATGTGTCAGTTAAGGTTTTGAACAGGAAATTCTTACACTTAGAGTTTTGAAATCAGTTTATCTCACCACACATCTCCAGAATATAGGAGACTTTGGGCTCCAATTGAAAGGACAAATGGACCTCTAAGTGCATTGTTTAGATGGCCATTTTCAAATGCCTCTGAGAAATTGTCTTCATATTCTACAGGATATGGGAGGACAGACACTTGACCACCCATGCAGTTAACTTGTTTCCATTGCAATCACAAACACTGCAAACTTGGAGGATCTCAAGTTTTACTTTTAGAATAAGGTTGCTAAATCTTGGCATTGTATACATCTTTTCCTTATTTCCATACTATTTCATTTATATTCTCATGGAAAAGTTCTGAAAATCATAATCCGATTATCAACATATATTTAATAGTATTTGTCACTAATTGTTCTGAGGAATTACTACATTCTCAACCATATTGACCTGGTATACAAAGTCCATCATTCCCAAAATAGCATCTTTATTTCTCTGCCTTTGTTCTTACATTCAATTTTATTCCTTATAAATAAATAATTTAATATGCATATTTCCTCTGATAAACATAAATGTCCCTTGGAAGGATAAATATAAACAATATTGAGCTATATATATATGCTAGAGGTTGAAATATTAAATAACTACTTATTATATCGTTCATTAATTCATCGTCCAGTCATGACTAGCTGTTTATATTTTACTGGAAATATTTGGTGTAAATAACAAAAACCCAAGTCAAACTATGTGGCACAAGAGAAGTTAATTTTTAAAAATACCGTCTAACCAAACAACGGGTAGGAGAGTGAAAGAAGACTTTTAAATAATCAGTTAAATGACACAGGAATATCAAAGAAACAAATGTTAAATTCCAATTGTCTCCATCATATCAAATGGAATTTTTTAATCATTTAATCATTATCTTGTGTCAAGAAAGGGGAGAATGTTTATTACCCATCTTTCCTAAGGATATTCACTTCCATGCAGCCTCTAAGAAATTGAGTTCAGATTCAAACCCATATCTTAAGTTTTGCTAAATCTAGAAAAATGGCATTTACACCGTAGTTATGTCTCTGCAATTAGCACTAATAGTTGAGCTTGTCATAAAAATTGCTGATCTTAACTAGCTATACAACTGTTGCCAAACTTTTTTTTTTTTCCTGCTTTGTTTATCTCCCCAAACCCCCCGTACACAGTTGTATATTTTAGTTGCACGTTCTTCTAGTCGTAGGATGTGGGACGCGGCCTCAACGTGGCCTGAGGAGCGGTGAGGATCCGAACCCTGGGCCGCAGCAGCGGAGCATGTGAACTTAACCACTCGGCCACGGAGCCGGCCCCTTAAATATTTCTAATAATTATATTTTCTTTTATAAATATAAATTATATTTATATTTTAAATAAATAATCTTATGTATGTGTGCATGCATTTATATTTATTAGAAATATATTTATTAGAAATAAATTTATTTCCATTTATTCCATTTTATTATATTTTCGTGAAGTAAATTAATAACATCTTGCTCTAATTTTTCTATTACACAAATTAGAGAATTAAAACAATGAAATAATTTCTTGACAATGCCAAATAATGTGAGGCTCACTATTGCTCTCTTTTTAAATTGAAAACACTTATGTCTAATATTCCTACAGACATCCACTTTGACGTTTTCATTTAAATAATGGTATACATCATATACTTTGTTATATGTAATAATATGAGTTGATTCTTCTGGCATTTATGTTTTAGTGAAATCTATACTTAGATAATATAAAGACAATAAAAATAACTCAAAATAAACTTGAAATCATATAAAGAATTTCCTTTAAATATATGTATATATGAACTCTGAAGATATAAACTACCAAAAATGTGGGAATTGTTGAAATTTATTTTATGTGAAATAACTCTCTGTATATAACTCTCTCTCTATATAACATATATTTGTATGTTATATGAATATAATAATATAGAAATATATTAATATTAAAATATTAAGAATATACTTATGATATACATGTAGCATAAATACATATGACTGTGACTATTCCTGATAATAGCAGAATCTAATGTCTTGGCTAAAAAAGAATTCAATATTTCGTCAAAATAACCTAATATAATGGGAAAATTAAGTCATTTTTAAGGAGCAAATTTAAAAAGAGAGAATTTGTTACTAACTGAGTCTCATTAAAGGAAATATTAAAGGATCTTCTTCTAACAGAAGAAAACCATGTCAAATGAAAGCTTAGATATGCACAAAGAAAAGAAGAGTTAAAGGAAATAAAATTGGGTGTACACATCAAAAAATGTATATAACGATAAAATATTAGTGATATAGATTCTAGTTGAAAAATATACGTTTGTAAAGATGTGAATGTGGCAACAAGCAGTAAGTAGAGAGGGTAATAAGATTGTGAGAAAGGATAAAAATACAAATTTGTTAGAATTTTAATGAAAAAGAATATATGCTGTGAAATGTAGAGCACTATTGAAAGTATAATTAAGGCATTTTGAACTAAAAAGATTTGATAGATGGAAGCGGAGAAATAAAAACTATATTTAATCCTAAAGAAGAATGAAAATAATGCCTATTTGTACTTGCAAATGGGAAGGAAATAGTAAATGATAGATTTTGACCCAACAAATGATAATTATATTAAATATAAATAGAATAATTTTCAAGTCAAATCTGAAATATGTCCTATAAGTTCATCCATGTTGTTAAAAATGACAGGATTTTCTTCTTTTTTAAGAGTGTGCATTATTCCATCGTATAGACATATATTCATGCATATGTATTACATTTTCTTTAGCTATTCATCTGTCTGAGACACATCTTTAATGTAAGCAAAAAGGAAAGATGAAAATAAGAAGAGAAAATATATTCTGTCTAACACAGTTCAGTAGAAAATCGCTATATAAAGGTATTATCACATAATAAGGCAAGACCATTTTTGGAAATAAACAAGTATGTTTCATAATGATTGACTATCCAAATAATTTGGATTACAATTTTTCAAAAATTTCTATGTATCTAAAAATACAAGTTCAACATAGATTTGAAAGAAGA